ACGGGAGCCCGTTCCGTGTAGTCACGGACCACCACTCGCTCTGCTGGCTTGCGAACCTGAAGGACCCGTCAGGACGCCTCGCTCGATGGAGTCTTCGACTACAGGAGTTCAACATGACAGTGGTCTATACACCAACTCAACTCTCCTACGTCACGCCGCGGTGGTGGCGCGCCGGACGCACTTCCGGTCTGGGGCGGTGGGCAGAAGTCGCCGTGCCAGACATGCATTCCTGTGTTCCTTTGGAATAAACGAGACAAAAAACCTGCCTTCTCGTCAAAATACTGCGATGGGGGCTTTACCAAGAGAGTCTGGAAAGGTTTGAAGATCAGTTTTCATGTGTTTTTGCACCCTCCGTTCTTCCGAGAACGTGGATAGCAGCCGTGAAAAGGGCAAACCAGGCGCTATCGAACTACGATTGCGTGTGCGGGCCACAATTTGTGGTCGCCAGATGTATTTGCTTTGTTCCAACATGAACGAGAGAAACCCCCCAAGTTGTCCGGACCACCCACGGATTCAGTGCGTCTTCAAATTCACACGGCCGCCTGATCGTTCGAACTTTCGTCTGCTCTTTCAAACTTGTCTGCTTTTTGTCGTCTGCTCGTTCAAACAAAAGCGGCCCGTAGACCAAACTTTGACCCGGTGATTGCAATAAGAAGTAATTGCAGGCCTCTAAAGACTTAAGTAGGCTCGGTGTAAACAGTCGATACAAGATGTTAATTATTGGTACCGGTGGCCATCGCCTACTTGTTACGCTTGGTCTGTTCCCGCTTCCGATTTTCAGTATCGACGTCGATCATCGCCGCTACCTTTTACACTTTTGCAGCACGAGCGACGTCGCGACCGAAAATAGCTACAAGAATTTCATCATGGTTTTGGCGTCCATTCTGCAGCGTTCATGCGAATGAATCGCCGCACGTCAAATTATTTACGGAAAGTTAAGCGGCGTAACGAGCCTTGATAATTTCGCTCAGGCGATTGAAGTGGTAAGACATTGCGATGACGACGTAGAATCGACAATTCCAACGCGAAAAAGAGTATGCAGACTCACACAGACCCCGACAACGTGACATTCGAATGGTTTGTTGACGCGGGACGCGGTGCTTCTTGCCCGTACTCCATTGCGCGTGCGTTCGAACTGTCGTCTGCTCTTTCAAACTTGGCTGCTTTTTGTCGTCAGTTCGTTCAGACGACAGCGGCCCGTAAACCAAACGTTGACCCGGCAATTGCGATAAGAACTAAGTGCAGGCCTCAAAACACTTTTGAAGGTTGGTTCGGGTAAGTCGGCTAAGTGTAAACAGATACAAGAAGTTGTTGATCATTGTTACCAGTGGCCATCACCGACTTGTAATGCCCGATTCTACTTGCGGTTTTCAGTATCGATATCCACCATCTCAGCTACGGTCCACGCTTTTGCAGTCCGAGCGACGTCGCGACTGAAAATAGCGAGCGGAATCTCATCGTGGGAGTCAGGCTTTAGCGCCCATTCTGCGGCGTCCACGTGAAACGAATCGCCGCACGTCACATTATTCACGCAAAGTTTTGCCTCGATAGTTTTGCTGAAGCCGCTCAAGTAGTCAGACATTGTTAGGAGGACGTAAAATCAACAATTCCAACGCAAAAAAGAGCACGGGGACTCCCACCGACGCCGACAACAACGCAATTCAATGGTTTGTTTATGGGCGACGGCGGGCTTCTTGCCCACCATCCACCGCGCATGCGCGGCGCCGGTGGCGTCCGCTAGGGGCGCTCCGGTTTGTTTGTAAACATGAGTTGGTGTATAAGTCAGGCCGCAAGCACAGCGACGCCGACTGCCTGTCCAGAGCCCCCGTCGAAACACCTTCCGGCTGCAGCGACGACAATGACGACGAGTGCTTCCTAGGAGCAGTGAACACCGACGATATGGCACGACGTCAACGGGACGATCCTGAGCTGCGCGCATTAATCGAGCACCTGGAAGGGGGCAGGAGTACCGTGCCACGTGTCTTCTCACGAGTACTGCCGACCTTCGTCATCCGACAAGGTGTACTCTACAAAGAGAACTTCGGCGACAACAACACACCGTGGTTGCTGGTAATCCCGAATGACCTTCGAGAGGAGATCTTCCAAGCCTGCCACGACGACCCGACATCCGGACACCTTGGTTACAGCCGGACACTGGCCCGTCTTCGTGAAAAGTATTACTGGCCGAAGCTCCCCAAGACCGTACACCTATACACACGATCATGCCACGAGTGCCAGCGACGCAAGAAACCGCCGACGAGGCCGGCCGGACTCCTGCAGCCTATTTCTCCTCCAACTGCACCCTTCCAGCAGATCGGAATGGATCTACTTGGTCCTTTTCCGCCTTCGACGTCGGGGAACCGCTGGATCATCGTCGCCACAGATTATCTCACACGGTACGCCGAAACGAAAGCTCTTCCTTCGGGGACTGCTGTGGAAGTTGCCAAGTTTTTCATTGAGTCCATCGTCCTCCGGCACGGCGCTCCAGAAGTTGTGATTACAGATCGCGGATCATCGTTCATGGCACAACTGACCCAAGAAATCCTCCGACTCAGTCATACCAGCCATCGTCGTACAACTGCGTACCACCCGCAGACCAACGGGCTGACGGAGCGACTCAACAACACAATCGCCGATATGATCTCTATGTACGTCGACGTAGAGCACAAGACGTGGGACGAGGTGCTGCCCTACGTCACGTTCGCCTACAATACGGCGGTTCAAGAGACCACTGGATTCACCCCTTTCCAGCTGGTACATGGTCGGAAGGTAACGACCATGCTGGACGCCATGCTGCCCCATGAGCCATCTGACAACGAGAGCGACGACGCCCAGGCGGTTGCTCAACGCGCCGAAGAAGTTCGCCAGCTCGCCCGACTCCTGATTCAAGACCAGCAACGCGTCGACGCCGGCCGCTACAACCTTCGTCGCAGGGACGTCCACTTCCAGCCCGGAGATAGGGTGTGGGTATGGACGCCCATCCGTCGCCGCGGCCTCAGTGAGAAATTGCTGAAGCGCTACTTTGGGCCCTACAAGATCATCCGACGCCTCGGCGATCTGAACTACGAAGTTCTACCCGACGGAACGCGCCCATCTGCAAGACGTCAGCCGCGACCCGAGGTGGTGCATGTCGTCCGGCTGAAGCCGTATTACGAACGATAGGACTCTCCACTCTCGTCGACGAGTGAACTGTGGACTGTGAACTCCGGCTAGCAATTCTGCTGTCCTTTTGTTTTTTTTGTTTTTTTGTTTTCCGTTTTTGTGCTGCATCGGGACGATGCACTTTTAAAGGGGGGGATGCCGCGCGCAGGGCTGAGAAAGCAGCGCTCGGTCACGGACCCCCAGAAAGTTCTCGTCTATTCATGTACCGCACGTAACTTCTATCATTTATTCCTGCTTTTGTTTTCTAGAAAGTGCGTGTTCATTCTCGCCCGATCACGCGACGCTCGAGCCGCTTTCGCCGAATCTTCGAGATAGTGACACACTCTAGATAAGAGGCCGCCCGCTATCCTTGTCGAGTCAGTTTTCGCCCAAGCGTTCGACTCTGCTGCTACGCCGACTTCGACGCCCGCGACGCTCTGTTATTATCTTTTATACCCTTTTATTTTTGGCACAAGTTCGCCACATTAAACGTTTATTTATCCCTGTTTATTTCTTGTTTATTGGTCACCACTCGTGACAGTATTACACGTCTATTTTCACTACTTGAAATGTCAATGAACAACTTTTACTTAATTGCTCACCAGACTGTGACAGTTGTTCGGCCCTCGAATGTCCGCTAAGCTTAAGAAATATATATATAGTAAAAACATCGGCATTCAGTTAGTAGTAAAAACGCCTTTTTAAAAAATTTGTTCGGAAAAAAAAAATCACCTGGTATATTCCCAGCCTATGTCATTCGCCAAGCTCCCTCCGTTGATTTGCAGCTATCGAGGACGGGGCCGGAAACAGGAGTTCTTTCAAAGAAACTCTGTTTCTGTCCCCGTCCTCGATGTTTGTTCCCTTCAAGTATCCGTATCTGTTCACCAACACACTCGTTTTCAATTAATTCGTGTAGTGGGTGTACATAATCGAAGGCTAGCGCGAGCATTCCAACTGGACCTCAGGTGGCTTCCACCTTCTCTTCTTGTATTTCGTTGCCTGGATTGTTACATACGACTTGAGGATGATGTCGATTATGCGGAAAGCAAGTCGTCTGCTTCTTGCTCAGAAGTTGCGGTGACGTCAGGACCACGCGGAGCTCTGATTGGCTTTGAATGAAAGGATAGTGGGTAGACCTCAATGCTAGATTCCTTGAGGTCTACCCACTATTGTTTTTAATCGGCCAATAAGAGCTCGGCGTTTTAACATCATCGCAACCCGTATGCAAGAAGCAGACGAACTTGCTGTCCGCATACACGGTGTGCGGAGATAAACAAAAACAAATCATGGCCGAAATTCAGGGGGTAGTATTTTATTTCCAGTTGACTATTGTCTTTGCTTGTTTTTGAGGACCCTCAGTGAGTAGCGCATACTTTAAAAGTCTCACCGCCGAGTGCTAACTGCGGAACCTCCTGAAATGTACTTATAAGGGATCGATATCCCTTCCTGTTCCCCTGGGTGAAAAGAAAGGGCAGTTGTTCCCCAAGGAAATGACAAATCTGCCGAAAGTATCGTGGGCGCATCATCAGAACTATACCTATTCGACTAGCCTGGTCTATATAGCTGAGAACGGCTTAAAACCTACAAATCCCTAAAAGCGTTCAACGACTTCGTGAACGGCGAGGCATTGGAGATGGGTACAACTACCCTCCCCCCAGTGGCCGAAGATATACACCACGTGTATCTTCGCCACTATGGTTCGAGGCCACCGGTCTTCGAACCATAGGGCGCCCTATGGCATGAAAACCGGTGGCAGCTTCGCTGCGTTTCTATAAGAGTTAAGCCTTTTTTTTTTACTTTTTTCTCAGGCTCGCTCTTTGCGAATTTTGGAGAAGAAATGCACCACCTGTGGCCAACGCTGTACAAAATCGGAACGCGATAGGTTAAGAAACCGATTTTTGCGGTCGATTTAAAGAGCCTGGCCGTTATTTGGGACACGGGGTATTATCACGTTTCTTGTTTTCTGATTCGTTCTTAAGTGTTCTTATCCACAGATGTCTCATCGACTGAGGAGCGATAATAAAATGCTCTGAACTCTCCTCGCCCTGTTTGTTGATGATTCTGGCAATTACCCGAAGAGACCTTTCGTGAGAGCCATCTGTATATACAGACACATGTCGGTTGCTTTTCTGCACCGCGTAACTTATGATTACTACATTTAACGGCTGCACCAGAAGCGAAGGAGGTAAATACAGTCGTTTCTGTGTACGAAATTTCAGCTCCTGAAATGTGGCGGCAACTCCATGGCCTATTCCATCTGGGATGTACCTGGCTCCAGACCGTTCTGTCTGCTGGACGCGGTTGACCAGGACAAAGACGGAAACTACATGTGCTATAAGTATGCCGAAGGAGGAAAATGTTCTAGAATACCGTAAGTCTTCTTTAAAGGACGCAAGGACCGTTTCGATGTTTTACGAGTAAAGTAGCACCCGGAAGCTCGTGTATCATACTCTAGAAGTTGAAGCTAGACGGAGTATCAGGCGTCACCGGCAAGACCTTTCGCTAAATTACCCAAGCATCAAAAACAATGCTGATACACGCGCTGCATGCGTTCGCCTTATCTGTAGTAAATATTCGAAGCAAACAACCAAGTTAAAACGTTGATGAACGTGCGTGCAAAGCGTCATTTATTAGCAGTACGCGCAGCGCGTGTATTTATCTACACTCGCGCTCGCTCCTTCAGCTTGGGAAATTTAGAAAAAAGTCTATTACTTAGCCACATCCCAAATATATTTTGCACCTTCAGGGCCCGTTTGCTCGAAGCACTAACCGCGGCTAAAGTTAGCCGCAGTACCTAGGAGAGGGATTTTGAAATCATGTGACTGGCTCGGTAGGGATGCGGGGAAACATGGCGGCGTCCCAGTGAGTGAGCGCCACACGCTTTGGGCGTTAGTCAGCAACGAATGATGCAGGAGGCTTTCGCTTTGCCTTACCTCACTTAAACCGCAAAGCATGGGCAATGACATCACCACATTTTTTAGATAGTGTTTCGATTCTGGGCATTCCTAAGCCTAAATGAACGCGATAATTGTCGGCATGGCAACGTCTTTGGAAAGCGAATTGCCCTGACTCAATCGGCCGGGTATTGATAGCGCACAAAAGCAGATAGCGTCCCAACAGACTTTCTTCTAAATTATCCAAGATCGCGAAAAGAACGCTGGAAGTGTAATTCTACGGTCCACGCGCGCTGGCCTTCCTGTAATAAAAGATTCGAAGTAAAAAAACATAATAAGGCTTTAACGAACGGGCGTGCAAGGCAAAATTTGTTTTATACTTTTTGCTTCAGAACGGTTACTACTGCAGACGCTAGCACGTGCGGCGCGTGCAACTACAGTCGTAGCGTGCACCTCGGTGCTTGGATAATTTAGAAAAAAGGTCTGTTGGGATGCTGTCTGCTTTTGTGTGCTATCAACAATCCGTTTTCCGAAGACGTTGCCATGCCGACAATTATCGCGTTCATTTAGGCTTAAATGCCCAAAATCGAAAGACTATCTAAAAAATGCGGCGATGTCATTGCCCATGCTTTGCGGTTTCAGTGAGGTAAGCAAAGCGAAAGCCTCCTGCACCATTCGTTGCTGACTAACGCGCCCGATATTGCAGCTACAACGACATATTATTTCCAAAGCGAGCGGCGCTCACTCACTGGGGCACCGCCATGTTTCCCCGCATCCCTACCGAGCCAGTCACGTGATTTAAAAAAATCCCTCTCCTAGGTACTGCGGCTAACTTTAGCCGCGGTTAGAGCTTCGAGCAAACGGGCCCTGGAGGGCGGTTGAACAACCCGTTTCATTGCGTAAATGAAGTTTGTGAGACCTCAATCTTACCAGTACCAATGCTTATAGACACTTATCACACGCGCCCGATTACAGCCGCCATTGCTGACCTTCTCTTGTCATATCCATGATGCCGAGTCAGTGAAGCGGGCTTTGCCGAGCTCCCACAAAGGCCAATGCTGGGCAGAAGGGCGTAGTATAAAATCTAAAATGGCAACAACCTGTCCTGCTGTGGTCACGATGAAGTGAAGTAAAAGTAATAAGAGGCAACAAAAATTAAGGCTGCTGCAAAGTGTCAATTCCCTAAAAAAGAGGGTTCATGTTCCGGCAGAATATGGAGACGTCCAATCACGGCGAACAAAGAAAGGATCTCAAAGAATCACGAAGCTTAGAATACGATTAGATCTGAAAAAAAAAAATGATGTAGTCGGGGGCGATGAGTGAGTGAAACGAATATTTCTGTATATTTGTGTTCTGATCTTGGCCATTCACTGGGATTTTTCTATCGCTGGCCTTGATTGGCTGCGTCCGCGTTGTACAGGAAAGTGAGGCTCACGGGATTTTCTATAGCCGGTGACGGGAGTAAGAGTGCAGGACAGGCTCCTTCTACAAAGCCTTACACCATTGCCACTTTAACCTAGCGGAAGCTGGAGAGGAGGCGAGGAGGGACCTGCCTCCTCTCCAACGTTCACGCAGTTAAAGTGGAGCAAGCGGAGGGCTTTGTGGCAGGAGCTTGAGCTGCTCTCTTAACCTCCAACAGGGCATTATTAAGGAACCAGCATGCTCAAAACGTCGGTGCCTTATTCGCAGTGACACTGCTCGTACATCATGCAAAAGACACAGTATTCTCTGCATACATAATGTCAGAATTATCTGAGCACACGTCGCAAGCTCCTACCAAGCATGCTTACTTTATACATATGCGTGCTTGGGACCTGTCACCAGAGAAGTTTTTGTGTGACCAATGGGACCGTCACTCTAAGAATAAATTCACCTCAAGCACTGTCTGCAGACTGTCCTTTGTATGATGTGTCAGCAGTGTGATATTGGCTTTAGGGCCTTAAATTGCTCTTGTGCCATATAATCACTGCAGCGTCACCTCGTACCGAGTTAGAGGACGCAACTCCCTGCACTCTTAGGATTCCTCCAGTGAGTTGTACATCGCTAAATATACAAAATATCGAACGTGTTTCTTCGGTCAGTCCAGCCATTGAGCAGGGCGAGAGTGATCCTGCTACGAAGGCCATCACCTCTCAATAGAAAGAGGCTTCCACCACTTTTGTTTCAGAGACCACATGGGAACTGCAGCATGAGGCTGATGACACTTATAATGTTTTTTCACCAATTATAGGAAGACCAGCGATTGGTCTAAATTACGAGTGCATTTCACTGCTGCACACAGGCAGGGACTCCGTCAAGTGTAAAGTTGCTAGCTTTTAGGAACTATACTCTTTTTTTTTTCTGATTAAAAAATATCTCGATGCACTTTGCTCGCAGTTACACCTACCTCCCCCGTGTTGGGTCCGCTAACCCCAACTCTCTCGCAAGGGACCCAGGCGGCTGCTGTAAGTTCATAGGTCTTTAAAACTAAAGCTATTCGTGTCTGGCTCGAGCTAACTTCCTCTCAAAAGCCGACTCGCAGAGTCGTTTTCTGCCGCAAAGATAACCCTTTCTCGCTGTCCTCGTCTCCGTTTTCTCTTACACTTTTATCTCCTCCCTTAAAGCCACGGTTGACACTTGTCAGGCATCATACAAAAGATACGGCGTTCGATGCAGAAAAGACAGCAGAATCATCTGCAGACAGGCCTCAAGCATGTTCGAAACATATTTGATTCACACATGTATGTATGCTTCGAACAAGTCTGCAGGCAAGTTTTGAATGACCACTGGGACAGGACCGCCATACAAGGAATAAACACGCGTCAGACAGTGTCTTCGAACCGTCTTTCCTATGGTGTATTAGCACTATGCCCGCGGTTCTAAGGAGTGGGTATGGTCAAAACATGAGTGCTGAATGTTTTTTGCGCCATCAAAATGAGACGAACCGGGGCCAGCCTGTGGTAACGCGAGCCTGAGCCGAACGATGACACAGCAGTCGCTGTGTCATCATTCATCAGCAGATTCGTTTGATTTCTGGCGTTGCGTCCGTTTGTCGACAGCCCCCATGAGCAAGTCGTTGATCGTGGACACGGACAACTGCAACTACCTGGTCCAAGCAGAATGCTACGCCAATGGAACGGGTAAGCGTCGTGCAAACTTTCGCACAGCGCGTTTACCTAATTTGAAGATTGGAAGGAAGCGTGGGCGTGGAGAGGGGAGAGGAGATATTGTGTTTCAGCAGGTGCGGGCGCGTGATCCAACACCGAGGATCTGCCTTTACTTCTCTTTCATGGGTACGTCTTCGGACCGCTAATGAGCGCGTGCAGGTTTGCACGAGCAGTGTGGGCACCGCGAGTTGATTCGATGCTGCCCCTGCGAGCTTCGGCGCGAATGCCAATTTAAGTCCCAGTGAAACAAGAGCGGGTTTGTCACTGACAGCATATGGGTCATCATGTGAACCCCATAATGTGAAGATAATGTGAACATAAGAAGAACGATTCAGGTACATAGCGTGGACATAATAAGTCACGCTCTGATTTTCTTTCGCTCCTCAGTGACTATATCTGCTTGGGATGTCTCGCGCGATGCACCAGGAACATCAGTATTTTTCTGCCATAAATCAGTTAACGAAAGCAAAATGATTGGTCCCGCGCTTTAAAAGGCAACGCTTTCTGAGTAAAAGAAGTGTGTGGTCGCCTTCCTTGCCGCTGAGACAGCGTAACCATTGGGGTGCCATCTGATCTCCGTACTTACTGACTCATAACATTACTAAAGGCCGACATCCCCTTCCCCCAATATTATCCCCTGTCCCTTCATTCTGGTCCTCTTTTAGTTCTCCTCTCTCAACGGCGAAAGACGTTAGTAGAATTCTTCTCACGCCCGTTATAAATAAAGCCCCAACGAAAAGCCTGCATAAAAGAAAAAAGTTCCCGTCGTCACGGGACCAAACCAGGAGGGTTTCTGGAGAAAGTACTGTAAACGACATTTTTGCGAAGTCCTAATTTTCGCGAAATTCGCGAATCGCCTACAATTCGCGAAAAGTAGGTCCCGCAAACAATTCCTCTAAAATGTAAAGACATTGGAATTTATATTAAGATCTCACCTAGTCGCTAAAATTAGAACCCGCGATTTATTCCAAAACTTCAGTTTTGACCAAAATCGCGAAATATTGAGCCCGCGAAAAAAAAAGTCATTTACAATAGCTGGGATAGAGAATTTTCAGCCTTACTAAACATTCTCCCTACCATACACGTCGATGCTATATAAAACAAGGAATAACAATAATTGTTATATCTAGTACTACAGTCACTGACAGCAGGGCTCTGAAGAGTTATGAGCATTTAATTACCGCTTCGCAGCCAATCAGATCACGCCATTAGCCGATGAGAACGCCGAGAGCGAATCACGAACCGAGTAGAGTGGACATAATAAGACGTGGCCTTCTTTTCTTAGACTGCCAGTGATTAGATAGCACCTGACGCGGGCTTCAATTCGCCCTTTGAATTTGTAAAAGTTGAAAAAGTCTCGATGAGCCCAACGCCTTTGTTTCTTTGCAGTGAACACCTACCTGACCTACAAGGAGTCCTGGCCGAGAGCCAGCAGGGATGCGTACATCAAAGCAGCGGCGAGGAACCACCAGATCTCTTACATCGCGAACTACACGATCGACTGCGAAAACGGGAGAGCGTAAAACAGAGCTCGAGACACTTCTCTTTTTCTTTTTTTTCGGAGCACATTTATGAGAAGGGTGCATTGCGAAACACTCTTATATTCTTGCATTGTCAACTACGACCGACTATAATCTGTGGCAGGGTAACAATAGCAGGGCAAACTACCCTTACAAAGTCCTCGACGTTTTCCACTTGAACAGAAGCAACGCTGGAGAGGAGGAAGTCACCTATAATGGTGAGCAGAGAGCTTTCTAGGATGGACTTGTCCTGCTATTGGAACCCTTCAACAGACGAATAAGCATAAACACCGTACCAAACATAAAGTGGACATGAAATCTAAATTGTGTCATCTAACTTTTTTGTATCCCCCAAGGCCCCCCCCCCTCCCCCCAAAAAAAAAAAAAAAAAAAAAAAAAAAAAGGAAGCTAATTTTATTGCTGGCATTTTGGGGGACAGTTACAACTAACCGTCCGACTTAGGGCGGTTCTTGAAAGTCTTCGGGATTCTTGCGTTAGGGTGTGGGCAACTTCTCGAGGTGCAATTTCAGGAGCTAACTGCGAACTGGAGTTGTCAATTTTAACAAAAAAGCTATGGTTACGGTTATCGACCCGTGGGGAAATCGACACTGAATGAAGCGCGTCTTTGCTCAACACCACATAGGATAATCAATGGATGCCAACACCCTCTTCTTGCTCCATGAAACGTGATCATAGTCGAATGGCGCCAACTCGGCAACCGCACCCGAACCTGACGCGTCCTGCGACGCGTTGATTGGACGTGAGGCCCCGCCGAACGTTGGCGCAGCTCTCGTGACCAATCAGCGTCTGCGCTCGGTCTCACAGTGATGATGCCACAAAACTCTTGTGCGCAGGCTTTGACTATTCCTGGTGGTGCTGCTACTCTCCCCTCTGACCTCCCTATCTCATACGTCTCAGACACGACTATTGTTACTATTAAACCAGCCTTCATCGCACAATAATAAAAAAAAAAAAAAAATGGAAACATCGACTTACGAAGAAAAGCCGAATGCAACATGTCACACCTTTCGGCATTACATCCAAAGTACTATTTTCGTTCCCAAACCGGAACTGTATCCGAGAAACACAAATAAGCTAATTAGGGAATGAACGTCAATTTCCCCATATGACTAAAGCGGGTGTTACAGAAGAACCTCTATGTGCTTGCTACAACTTCCCCGCAGATTGAGTGTGTCTGAAAGCGACAAAAATTGTTCGTTTGTATCGGACTTTATCACTCCGCGAGAGCACACTACCACGCGAACCGCAGCACGCAGCGCTCACAGCGCGGAGGTCGACAGCCCCAACATCAAGCTATTCGAGCGAATCGGAACCCGTTCGTGCGCCGCTCGTTGTAAAACGCATTGCGGACGGCGTTTTCCAACGTACGTAGACATTCAATCCACCATTTTGATCAGACCGCAATGTGCATCTGTAAAGCCCGGTTCAGACACTTGCGTTTGAGTGCGTTTGACTGCGTTGCATCGAGAACGGAAAGCGAGTCACCGGCACATCTCTGCTTCGTATGAAGCGTGGAATCCAAGTCGAGGAATCATCTTGGCACGCGATATAAGCGGCAGGGATGTCTTGGTTTCTCGCAGCCGCAACGCAGCCAAACGCAGTCAAACGCAACTGTCATGGATTAACTCTTCTACACGAGCATCTCTCTTCTGCAGAGCAAGCTCCCGCGCGCGCGCTCGCTCTGCGGTACAGCTGCCGTTAAACTCAGAAAAATCACCCTTTTTAACATTTTATGACAGCTAACACCCGTATCTCAGATACCACCCGATACAGAAAGTTAAGCGTTTACCCTAGTGAGTTTTTCGGGGTCTCCACTGCAATTGTTTTTTCCGTTGGTGCTTTGACGCCCAATCACGCCGGACGCCGAGCTAACCCTAACAGGCTCGGCGTCCGGCGTGTTGGGGCTGTCGTCCTAACGTCCCAACAAGAAAGGAGAAAAATCAGAAAATAGCTAATAAAATAATTTCTCCTTTTTTTTTTTTTTGACTGGGGGGGGGGGGGGGGGGGATGGTTGAGACCGTGGGGACGTCTATGACTTGGAGTGAAAAAAAGGGGGGGGGGGGGGGGGTCAAAGTGCATAATACATGTGTATATTATAAGGGCGGCTGGATTTCGGGGGGAGGCGGGGGGGGGGGGGGGAAGGGGGGGCTGAAATCCTCTATAGGGCTTCACCCTGGCTACTTCTCTGCTCAGGGGCTCGGCATGGTCCTTAGCCATTTTGGAGACACCCGAACCCCTCTTCAGCATATCAAGGAGCTTCAACCCAAGAGATAACCCGGTGACTAGCGACCCGAAGTCGCCTTCACTCTGTATACAACGGCTCTTTGCACGGACCGAATGTATTGACCCTCTCTTTGCGTGGACCCAAAGGCACGACAAGTCCGGTGCATGGCAATCAGCTCGTCGAACGACGTTTTGAACGAAAGATATCGTTTAGTCGGCGTGCGACGCCTGCAATCGCGACACGGCACAAGCATATACTGCCAAGTGTTTGCTGACGATTTAAAGGGGCAGTCAACGCCCGTTGATGAAACCGGGGCTTGGTGCAAGCATTCCGCAAAGGCATGCTTTTGGAATATAAAAAAAAAAACAATCATGAAATGGACTTAAACATACAAAAAGTTAATATTGAATTGCAGACAAATGAGCTCACCTCGCGCTGAAGAAATGAGCGTTCGGGTTCCAGAAAGCATACGCACTTCGTATGCGCGCGAAGTTGACACTCAGTGCAGCGGAGAAATCTTTGTCGTCCGTAAAAGCAGCGAGAGCAAATCAGACATGCATCCTTACTGGGCGGCATCTCCGCAGCGAAATAATAATGATAATAATAATAATAATAATAATAATAATAACAATAATAATAATTTTATTTCACGTCTTCATTGCAATAAACAAGAGAACGGGTCCGTCAGAGGCCAATAGTGGCTTGTGGGACTGAACCCGGCAGTGGCGTAGAAAATACCAAAACTTTTCACATGAACAAGCAAAACAAGAAATAATCGATTATTTCAAATACAAAGAGAGAGAAAAAGAAATAAAAATCTGAAAGAATAAAAATGCAAGCCAAGAAAACCAAACACCAAGAAGGATCTCTTACAAAAAAAAAAAGGTCACCATACCACTGAAAGAACAACTGTAACGCTATTACAAGAAAATCGTTCATCATCTAGAATGTCTTACAGAGTTACAAAGACAAGGTCAATAAAAAAAGCAAAAACACAACAAAAAGCAAAATAGTATTTGACAGCCACTTGAAAGAGTTAATGTAGGGACAAAATTAAAACAACTCTTCACTTGGCAGATCAAAAGAGGTGTACGCTACGCTTTTCAAAATACTTTTCAAGATGCTATCTATTTTGTGATCCCAGAGCATGGAACAATTCGCATATATAGTAATCCCGTAACGTAACAGGCCGTAGGCTAAGGCATTGACTATCATTTTTCGGACAGAGAGCAGTAAAAACGTTTTTGTAGTATATAACATACAAGATACACCCCTTAACTTTTTGGCTATGTAGCTGAGGTGTGAATTCCACGATAAATCGCTATCAAAGAAAATGCCTAAGTACTTTGTTGTGTTTACATATTCAAGAGGCGTACAGGAGCAGTGAGTGCATTTCGACGAGTGCAATATAAAAGGAATATCAAGGCTTTTGCGTTTCGACGGACTACTGAAACAGAAAATTTTTGTTTTCTGAACATTTATTTTAATAAGATTTGCTTCGAACCAGTCCATAACTTTAGTCGAATTCTCTTGCAATGATACGGTCGCACTGCTCAGATTTAAATGTCTAGATACTAGCAGCGTATCGTCAGCGTACTGATATATTTCGCATCCTGATATAGTTTTAGAAAGGTCATTGACATATAAATTAAACAAAAGGGGGGCTAAAACAGAGCCCTGCGGTACACCAGCTTTCAAAAGCACTTTGGCACTCGGGCTATCACACACTGAAACTTGCTGTGTGCGGTTCGTTAAAAAGTCTTTGAGTAAAGAAAAAAATGGTCCCCTGAAACCATAGTCGAATATTTGTTTCATTAGTATCTTAAGGCTAATGGAGTCGAATGCCTTCGAGACATCAAGAAAGAGGGCACAGGCATATTTGTTATTTTCAAAAGTTCCGTGCAAAGTGTCCACGAGTTCTTCGAGTAAAGAATCTGTTCCACGTCCCGTAACAAAGCCGTACTGACACGGCGATAGCATATTAAACTTTCCAAGAAACGCGGTCATTGCTCTCAAAATATGCTTTTCTAGTACTAATGCTAAACATGGTAAAATCGAGATAGGCCTATAACTTTCAACGCTATCACGAGCACCACCTTTGTAAAGGGGCCGAAGAATGGCACTTTTCAGGCCACCGGGAATGATACTAGAATTTATAACCCCGTTTATGATGTATAACAAAACTGTGCTCAGCGCTTCAAAATTACGTCGTAAGTCGCAGAGACGAATATTATCTGAGCCGGGCGCCTTATTGGGTTTAAAGCTAAACAGAATCAAGCGTGGTTCTTTGATTGTCAGGTTCGGTAAAAATGCAGAATGTAAAGAAGGACACTCTAGATTAGTCGGGGTCACGGTTTCGTCACGCGCTACACCCGAGACTGAAGCAAAGAAGCGATTAAATTTATCAGTTATAGATGACACATGTGCACCAAAGTTTTTTTTTAATCGTGTCATCGATCGACGATTTAGACGAGCACCCCTTCACTTCGTTAACCAGGGACCAGGTTTTTGCGACGTCATGTCGGGAGCGGAAAAACTTTTCATTAAAGTGTTGGCGCTTCTTAGAACGTACAAGGGCATTTACACGATTTCTAAGACTTTGGTACTGTAACCTTAGCTCTTGGTTTTCAGGGAAACGTAGACATCGTGCCCATAAAGTATTTTTTTCTTTGATTGCAGAAAGAACATTTGACGTTAGCCAAGGATGATTTTTCCACCGTTTTCTTATCGTAACATGTTTTGTGCTTTGATCTCTAAAGTTCAAAAGAATTTCACAAAGATTTAAGTAGGCACCATGATAATCATTGTTCTCCATTAATGCATTCCAGTCATAAGTGGAAATTAGACTGTCAAGACGACGTGAATCGACAATGTTTACTTGTTTGGGTTGTTCTACCTTCTCAGGAGCGACAGCGAAATTGATTCGACAGGCTACGAAATAATGGCCCGCTAATTTCTCTGCGATAACGGCTGAGTCTACAGGTACCCCTGAATTTCTAATGTTAATATGATCAATGCATGATATAACGAGGTTGCCAGACATATATTCTTCTCTGGTAGGGATGTTAATAAGGTTTTCAATACCATGATTTGCAAGAATATTTAAGTAATTGCAGACAACAGATATGGATGGCTTCAAGATATCATATAATTAATATAATAATAACAATAATAATAATAATTCAATCAATCAATCAATGTTTATTTGAATGTGCCAGCACTAAGACCTCTTGGGTCTCAGTGCTGGCACATTTGTGAGAAAAAAGTTATGAAAACAGAAAATACTAGGGCAGTGGGTGAACGCGGTTGTCTAAAACAATGCGTCCTGGATGAGCAGAAGACTCGCTGGCGATTAGGTTCTTGACGTTGAGTTCCACAGCGGCAGAGGCGAGGACCTTGTCCACACTATTAAGGGGTCCAACTTCGGCCTAGTTCTCGGCTAAGATTTTAGTGGAAGAGTAATGCAATGATCGGTTAAATAAGCAGGTTAATTGAAAATTCCGCTGCCCTAGTGAAAAGTTATACGGCGCTTAGTCGGTGTTCGCTTCAAATTGGGTGCCCTAATTGAGCGCAGTGTGCATGTAAAATGTTCAGTCTCTGATTTGAAAGGCTCTTAAATGGAAACCTGATTAATTGGGTTTCGTTCGCATTTTTTGTTTCACGGGATCCCGTTCTCGCAGTCGATCGAGTAGTCCTTGATGTAAGAAATTTGAAACTTGGTCACAGCAGCCCTAATGTATGCATCCCTGGAGGCTCTTGGCCACGACTCCTTGTAGGTCAGGTATTTGTATACTGCAAAGAGAAAAAACGCGTTCTGTTGACGACACTTCGTTTTTCGCTGAATGCGCTTTCCCTGTCTATATAAAAAGGTCACACGGGTTTCGGAAGTGTAGAACTAGGAATACCAAATGTCCGTCTTTAAAAGATTACCTACCAATTTTCTTTTTAATCAGGCTAAAAATTCTTTTCGCCATACACTCTCCTGAGACCCTCTTCTATTAGTGACAGTAAATGCCTCGAGGGGATTAAAAAACGTGGCTCGTGTCAGATCTCTGCGGTGACGGGAACGGCGGAACTTTACGAATGTCGGGAGTTCAGCACGTGCGCTGTGCTTTGCCAACCCCAAAGCAAAGCCACGATGAAGATTCGCGGTATACAGACGCTCTGAAGCAGCTGTGCATGATCGCCAACATAACCGACCCTCAGGTTATGTTTTATTTCGTTTACTTCACTTTAATATTACCGTAGAAGGCCAGGTAATTATCATCTTAGATCCTATTGTGTCCTTCTCCTTAGCAATGGCCTTTGTGGAGGCTCGCCAACACCTGTTTCAGTGGCTCGGTTTCTCGGTAAGACAAGATGAGGTCAGCGATTGCAGCGCATTGAGAAGGTGAATGCTGGTCGTTTTAACGTGAAACGTTCTTTGGCTAGGTGTTCAGCACTTCGTGAAGCCTAAACAAAAGCGTGGCCGCGAGGCTCGACATTGATTGGTTGATGGGCGGGAGAGGAGGAGTCAGGTGCTCAACGCTGATTGGTCAAAGGGGTAGGCGAAGAGGAGCTGGACCACCTGTGCGCATTGAGGTAGATTTACTCGCGTGTATCAAAGGCTCTGGAAGATAGCCTGGTTTATCAGCCCGAGTAGCGGTAGCATTACTTCATTCTAGGAACAACTATCACGTGTACGCAGGGTGCGCGCTAAATGATTTGATGAAGAGCGCCGTGAATGCTGACGTCTTGAAACTCAGAGTACTGCGTCCCCAACTTTCCTGGACATCAACGCTTTCTGGATCTACAAAAGAAACTGAAGAGCAACGAACATGACAATGTTCCCCTGGAATATTTTAGATGACAGTCATGAGATATAAATAAACAGTAATTAAACTTTTTTATTTTATTTGGTGATACTGCCAGCATTCTGTAGAACTCCCAGGCAGGAGGTGTACAAAAACAATATTCAAAAACAAGCGCAGCAGTAGAAACAAACAGACAGAGTTACTACTCTGTCTGGGACGCGTATCGTTTTTATTCTACGGCTCTACAGTTTCTTTGTATTGAATTCTATATGCCACAATCCCAAAATTATAAATTTCTGCTTTTGTTGATGAAAGATCGCAATATTCCCGAGAATCCTAATGGCCTGAATAACATAAAACGCAGATCAATTAAAGTTTTGATATTGCCTTGAAAACTTTTTGTTTTATATAAAATGTCCCAGAATGTTGGCCATGAGATTGTCATGCTAGAACGTTTCATGTATGAAACATATTTGCCTAACAATTCGTCATGAATTTCTTTCTGTTTTTTTTTTTTCTACGATTGCCATCGCGTGGGGAGATACACTAACGCGTGTTTCTTGGGTTATAAACGTCAAGGATTAATCCTATGCGGTGTTTAATGGATGTGCAGAAATCATTGCACCACCCCTTTTGATGCACCGATTAAAAGTCATCAGGAAACTTACCTGATCCATTGGCGTAGCATTCTGTGTGAACAAGGTAGTTGCAATTATCGGTATCCACAATCAGGGACTTGGTCATAGCTAGGGAGACGAATAGACATAACGTCACAAATAAATTGATCAATCAACGAATCGATTAATATATAAGTAACTATTGACACAACCAATTAAATAGGGCTGTCAATTAAATGATTGAGTTATTTAAGAAGAAACATAATTCATATGATTTATTGGTACTGCTATTGGCATTTTTTATTTTGGTCCAGGAGATCCACGGCACTTCAAAAAGGTTCGAACTTACAATAAAATCCTGCGGCGGATCATCGAATGATAGCGCGATGATATTTAACTGATATTTAGTATAGTAATGATCACCTATGTGGGAGTTAATACGTATTCAATGTAAACTCTAGGGGTTGATATTACAAAGCGTAATAGGCCATTTTGAACGGTAACCACTCTTGATTTCTGATAAAAAAAGTTGTAAGTTTCTTCATAACTTGTTGTTGTACTAATTATAAGCTGCTCATAAGAAAAGTACGCCTGTGAGAAAACATTATCTTTCTGTAACTGTGAGAACAACTCGTCAAAATTGGACATTGAAAAAGTGTGGGGGTGTTGAATTATATTGAACGTGGCGATGAATAAATACATTGGAATAGCCAATATCAGGTGTTCGGCGGAAATGTGTGTGGCTGAAACGAATTTGAGCCAAGGAGAGCTCAAAATTTGCAAAGTGCGTTGGAACGCACTTTGCAAATAGTTTGTTTTACAACTTTGCAATAAGAAAGTTGTAAAACACGAAGTGTCTTATAATGCGTCACGAAGTTTGAATCGCATATTGTTTCCTCCGCGTTGTAAACGACACGTGAAGAGAAATTTTAGTAACTATAGAGACTTTAATAGACCGAAGTTTTGGTAAGAGTCTTTTCTTAGAGAAAGGAAAGACTCCTTCCAAAACGTCTGTGTACTAAAGACTCTATTGTTACACAATTTTCTCTCAACGTCTTTAATATCTCGACAAAAAATATTTTAACTACATTGTTTTAAACAATTAAATAGCATACTGACAGATTACGTTTTACGGTCTATGCTTGCAAGAGCGTTAAAGGCAGAAACGTCAAATTACAAGCATTAAAAATAAAAATAAAACGTACACACACAAGCTTGTGAATTAACTCTACACGAGTAAACAACCCAAGAGTGTGAAAATACCGAGATTTTGATTTCATTGATACCGATCCTTCGTATAAATATCTGGGCGTCAGACTGACATCATACTTTCCTAGAATAACACATCCACATCGAAGCCATATTCTCTTATAGCTTCAGAACCTTAGGACTTCTCCAACGAAACCTTATATCTTCCCAGACGAAACCTCATATCTGCGCCATATGGCGCAGATATGAGCCCGCGAACAGGTGATATCACCTGTTCACCTGTTCGCGAGCTGCCGTACGGCACATTAATTGCGCTAAGATTGGAATATGCTTCTTCTATTTGGAACCCTCATCAAGTTTACCTAATCCATCACCTGGAAGCGATTCTAAACAGTGCCACTCGGTTCATTCTAGAACCACTAAATGAGCTGCGCTTAGAGTATCGGCACTCCGTTCCCCGACATTGTTGTGGGCGCCGCCATTTTGGGGCTTGTGCAGAGCAGACGCAACTGCCGATCGTTATGATTCAAAGGTGCGACATTCTCAGCATAGGTGCGGTGTTAGGAAGCTCATGTATTATTGCTTTGCTTTGTCGCGAACTGTTTAAACATTTGTGGAGGACAGAAAAGTGTTTACTGTGATTTCAGATAAAGATTCAGATAACTGGCAACCATGATCGCTAGCTCAGCAAGCGAAAGTATTGAACATGTACAGAGGCGGTTTGTACGTATAATCTACGATAGATATTTTGGTCGCAAATTTTATTTTGAATACAATCTGATTTTAACTAGACTAGGATTGTGCACTTTATGTAACAAAAGGTCTATCCGGGATGTTAAGTTTTTGCATAAATTGGTTCACGGATCAATAGACAGTTCTACTTTGCTTGCTTCTTTACATTTTCGCATTCCTGTTAACACAAGTTGCTAGAAATCGTAGAGTGTTTTATCCAGATCACCTTAACTTCTCACCTGTATCACGAATTCAACATGTCCTTAACGCGAAGTATTGCGGCATTGGTATTTTTTGTACAACTTTGCCCTATATGTTTTACACATGTGCATGATTATAAAATCAGTTTGACTAAGGATGTATTTTTTGTAACGGAAATGTAAATCTTACATTGTGCTTTACCGCAAAGGCCAACCGGCTGTTGGTAAGCACGCAAAATAAATATTGTATTGTATTGTATTGTATGATTTAAGGCACAATATTGTCAAGTGTCGTTACTTCGAAGCGAAGCTTATTTAGTGGCACTAGTTAATTCTATTCGCATACGACCTTCCTGTCTGTGTTTCCGTCTTAAAAAGTCAAGTAACCTTTTTTCCCCTACAGATTTGTAGAAAATCCCAGCAGCTCTGCCGTCTTTGTAAAATATGTTATCAATTAGCCGACCGCAAGACAACTTCATTCTGTCCTCCCGACCGAACATCACTTCGCCTTAACAATGCCTGTACCATCAAATGCATTTCTGTATTAAGAAACGTCTTCAAACGATCATTCCTGCTACAAGTCATCAAGGACTGAAATAGCTTCCCATCCTCCGTTGTCACCATTTTCGCATCGAAGGAGTCTAAGTAATCTATTCGATCACATTTTTTTATGTTAGTAATATCTGTTCCTCTTGATTCGTTGGTGATTTATTCCGAAAGATTTTTTTGTATGTGTCTGTATTTTATTATATAATACGAATGGACCCCCCCCCCCCCCCTTTTTTGTGTAATGCTCTAAACGGGCCCTTAAAATGTAATGAAATAAAGTAAAAAAAAAAGAAAAGAGAAAACTACTCAAAACATTTAAGCAAATTAAGACCTCGTGTCTGCTTGACCGTTTCTTTTTTTTTTTTTTTCAGCCTTGAGTTTATATTAAAATATGAACTGCTGCTAGAAGGTGACCGCGTCGCAGTCAGCTTACTGGGCAGACTTCCTCGAATAAACTGCAAAAGCGTTTCATAAGTGACAGATAAATTACTTGATTAGTGAAATATGTGAAAAGCCAAGAAAAATAAATTGTAGAAAATCCTCACGTTTTCGCTCGCGTATCCGACACTCACCTCTATATAAAAAAAGCGTCTTTAGAAACACATGTAAACCAACTCCCCCAGCGAAAAATCGGGCGATAAATGCTATTCTCCGTTTCGGATAACAATGGGCCCCAGTGGACGCTACGAGCCATTGGACTTAATAGGATGCCACGTCAGTGTCACCGTTACGTAATCTTTGGGTAGGGGGTCAGCCACATCTGGGGAGGGCGGTCACGTGACACGTGCGCAGCGCTGGATTAGTTGGCGTGACTCGTAGCGCCCGCTTACGTCAGTCCTAACCGGTCCAGTTAGTGCCAAGTGTCAGATCCTGGTGCTGGTCGTTACCGCCATGACCAGAACCCGTATTCGACTTGTGCATTTAGTGCCCTATTACGGGTACGCTCCGAAAGTAGTCCCAAAGCTGCAATAGATGACGTCACGGGAGCCGGTGTGTCATGTTCTCGGATGACACGATCCTGGCGGTGTCTCGCAGAACTTTTCCGACATAAAAGTACGAGGGAATGCGAGTGTCGCTGTCGTCTTGGCGTCCCTACTTCTGACTGGGGAAGCTTACGTGGACTGCAGAGCGACCTGCAGCAGAACAAGCGACTGCCGCATCCACCTCCTCTGATGTGACACCACCAGAATCACAGCAGGCACCAGCCTGACGCTTTCATGACGTCATCAGGCGGAAATCGAGGAACCACATATGAGGACACGGGAAATACACCGGTCAGAGACACCTTCCAGGCACCATCCCGTAGGAGTAGTTCTCTCGAAATCCTCGAGGTGGCGTTCGCCGCACTCTCGGACATACAGGGTCGACGTTCGACGTCTCAACGTGCTACAGGTAGTTGAGCATCAACACGACAATCCGGGTTGCTCTTTACTTCGTCTATTCGAGGATGGCGTCGAAGCTCTAGCCTCGAAGACGCGTGAACTTACCACAACCACCGAGGTCCCTCGAGAGGGCATTGGGGTTACTGATCCCACCACGGCTGTAGTAGGTGTGACTGCAAATAAAGCGCATCGATACATCCAGTTACCAGAAAGACATTTTGCGCGCTGAATGGGCTGTAACGTGTCTAGTGTACTGCCAGAAATTCCCACCTGTACCATCAAGACCTACACTCGGTATTAGCACCGATGATTATACGCTCATTAATCCTTTGAAATAACGAGAACGATCATTAAGCCGCATTCACGCTGCTCATATATTTCTCACATATATAGGACTCGGTGTTCGCTACAGGCATGATGACAGAATTACCCGCGGAAGCGCCGCTCGGGCATGTGCCAAGCATGTTTGCTTTGAACGTGTCTGCATGTTGCATATAAGAAGGCCATCATACAAGGAAGATACACGCATCGGACAATGTCTGTAGACAGTATTTTTTATGATGAATTTCAGTCATTGGGGGGGACAGCTTAAGAAACGCCAATAGCGGCTTGTCCTGAGCATCATATTTACGCTACACAGTCATTGAGATTGCGTCAATAGCACACAACAACGCTAAAGAACAAAGAACATAATGGGCCACGCCCTGCATTTATTAAACTGTCGATGACTATGCGGAGCGCAAGTTCGTCTGCTTCCTGTGCAGGGGTTGCAGTGACGTCAGTACGCGCCGAGCTCTGATTGGCTCTTATGGGAAGGATAATGGGTAGACGTCCCAGCTATAGCTGCCTTGAGGTCTACCCCCTATTCTTCTGATCGGAGTCAATCGCAGCTTGGCGTGTTCTGAGGTCACCTCAACCCCTGCGCAACACGCAGAACTTGCGCTTCGCATAGCAGCTTGACTGTGGCTTTAGCGTCTTTCTCCAGAGCTCATGTAGCCTCAAAAACAAAATGGGTGGATACATTTTATCCACCGAGAGCGTCTCTCTCGGAGCATGCTAGGCCTCAGCTTTCTCATTGGCTGGACCGGTTAAAAGAGGACCAATGGTGGGTGGTTTAGTGTATTGCGGTTCGTTGCCCTCGCAAGGTTTTCTGACGGTGTAGAGAATTGTTGCCTTTAACTCGTTAGGAGATGACGCCAGTGTTTACACAGCGTGAAAACAACAAAAGCGGACTTAAAGGAGCTGTGCAACAGTTTCGGTGCTTTGCTTAAATAATTTGAGAGTTGGTGTGTCGGCCTTTCTGAAGTAAAAAAGAAAAAAAAAACGCTTTTGCCTGGATGTCCTAGTTTTTATTATAAAAATTGACGAAGATTGTGAGGCATTGGGCACCCTATCAACTCCTTCACCATCTTCCGACTCACGTGTGCTGTGACGTGAAAGAAGGACGCGCGGGGTTCCGGTGAAGCTCTCTCTCTAAAGCCATCAGCGAGCAGCGAGAACTCACCCGCTCGCGACCACGTGACCACGAGCTTGCGCAACGCGATCAACATGGCGAAAGGAGGAAAGTCTCGTCCGGGTCCGGCCATCCCCGTCCGGTTCTGTCCCCCTCCCCCTCCGGCTTCTGGCGGCTGTCCGCGGTAGCAGATAGAGCTGACGGTTTTGTTTACCTCAAATAGATTGCGCTACTGAAACTCCGTTTAATAAATGTTTTGTCGATGATACCACGTTTTTGACGCATTTATATTTATGTTGGAACGACAAGATTTTTAGAAAAATTACCCTTAGTCGAGCAAGTATTTGCACAACTTCCTACCTTTTTACAAGTACCCGGTTACGCGGAATGTTGCGATTACGCGGCGGAATCGCAACATTTTGAAGGAAGGAGATGTGTTTTTTGTCCTTTGTGACAAGATGAACAATGTCAAAAGTAGAAGATGCAAATTCTTTAAACGTTAAAATCGTTGCACAGCTCCTCTAAGTCCCGCTTAATTATGGGGACGGCGCTAACGTAACTCCGTGACATCACGTGGTACCTGACGTTATATAACATTCCCGCTAAATGCAGCGAATAAGTTTTCTCGCTTTATTTAGCGGAACCATTTTTCTAAATTTTTCCGCTAAACACTGCGACGTCATGTGACTTGACATCAAAGGATAGCGTGGCGTTGCACTTTAACAGCGCTCTAATTTCCCGCAATATTTGGAGAGTCACAACGTACGCGAGGCACACATGGGATGACCTGCGAAATTGCTTTAAGAAAAACTCGCCGTAAAAAAGAGAAAGAAAGTATGACTCACGGTGTTCTGGAACAGATTCCACCTTCGGAAAACATGTAGCAGATTAAGTTACCATCCCTATCCTGGTCAATGGCGTCCAGTTGACAGTGCGGTGGGGAACCAGGAGCCTCCAGGATGGAATATGCCATGGAGTTTCCGCCACATCTCAGGAGCTGCAACGTACGCAGAAATGACCGCAGTCGCATCTTTCGCTTCCGGTGTTACTATGTTCTCATCCGGTGTCGCATGCATCTTGCTTCATGATTTGTCCTTGATCTTTTCTATGAACCGAGAAACTGAGAGGGAGGAGGAGAGAGTGCGCGGAGACGTCAAAATGCCGAGCTCTGGTTCGAAAACAGCTAGCTCTAGGTCTACCAGCTAGTCATACTAGTGAGAGCTCGGCGTTCTGACGTCTCCGGGCGCTATTGTCTCCTCGTTTCCCTCAGTTTCTTAGCGCATGGCTAACGCAGCAATTCTATTGGCTTAAAATGCACTTAATGCACCAACCGGTATCATGCGTCATTGGTCACCCGGTCTGAATGGCAAAAGGGGCAGAAGGGGTAGAAGACATTTTGCTAATGGAACCACAGTCTCCAACGCCATGCAAGACGAATTTGATGATGCAGTTCCAGGCGGATGTAAGGGATTCGTTTTGGCCAGGACCACATCACTTGCGGTAAGGAAGAGGAGGAAAAATCTTTATAAAAAGTTAGCTGAAGGATTGAGGAAAATTTGTGGGGATTATTTATGAGTGTGATAGTATTTATCGTTGCACGCATGGGCATGTGTTCGGTTCTCCGCTAAATTTAGCGGGGAACCTGTGTCGTGTTGTCCTTGTCTCCGCTCTCCAGGGTTAAAATAATGTCAAGACCCGAAACGCAGGATCAGGAATAAAGGAATTTCATTTAGATGTCCGGGAGGACCTGGTGGATTTGGGCAACAAGGTGTGTAGGAGGGGAGGGGGGGGGGTCGTTTGGCTAAATGAACGGAGAGTTAGTGGAGAATGTGGGAGGAAAGTGGCGTTGTCGAGGAAGGAATGAAGTGTCTTCAGACTGTCAGTGAGAAAGATGTTATGGCTCGGAAAGGTGTGGCTCATTATGGCGGAGACCCGTGCCACACGGGCAACTCGAATGCCACTTACAACGAATGACATTTGTGTGATCGACGAATCGGCTCGCGATCTGTCGCGCGTGGAACGCCCCACGCTCGGAGTGTCGCGCGCTGATTGGCCGATCGTTCAAATGTCATTCGTTGTAAATGGCATTCGAGTTGCCCGTGGCCACTTTGGTTTCGAATAAAAGAGGGTTGGGGACATGGGACAGGTAAGCGACGAGGGCGGGTTGTTGGGGAGGAATGACACCCACCGTGGCCACTTGAGTTTCATCAAGGCAGGAAGCATCTGTATTGCAGCCAGCATGGTTTACTGGGTGCAAATTGCAGGGCACAGTGGGAATTTGGATACAAGGCAAGGTTGTCCACGGGGGCGACTTGGGTGGGAACGGTGATGTCGTATTGAAAAGATTGTAGAATCTGCCGACCTTGAAGTTTTGAGACGGAGGCGTGCTTTTTGCTCTAAGAGGTGCATGTCGATTCGTGCCTAGGGGTGTGTGCAGGCTGGTTTCTTGAAGTTTAATAAGCGGGGTGGGTAGAGGTGTAGTCCTCTTGATGTGAAGCGGGGCGGAAAGCTCTGTTAAGTTGTTGTTGGGGTGGGGTAATAAAGTAAGTATGGGAAGGCACATGACTCGTGAGTGGATAAGAATCTGGGTAGGACGATGTATGTCATGCTCGTTGAGGCCCTGGCGTCGACACGTCATGCTGCCTATAATTTTCGTAATCTGAGTAAATTACCGTTTAAAGGCATGAGGCCATTCCGTGGCTTTGCCATCCTCCGTGAGGTTGAAGCCGATGACCTGGATGTTCCTATGACGGGAAGACCTCATCCACCTCACCCGTGTGAGGTTAGGTGGTTGAGGTCATGATCAACTTGAGCATGGGTTTGGTGGGGGTGGTTAGTGATGGTAACAAACTCAGATTTAGTGTGGGAAAGGGTCAGCTTTACTTGATCGGAGGAGCGGACGATGATATCTATGCCTTCCTCAAGAGTAAAGCAAAGAGTGCCGGGGCTGGCTGTGGAAGTCTAGAGGGCTACATCACCTGCGTGAACTCTAAAGGAGAGAGTATGTATATACTCGAGAAGAAGGGAAAGAGGCCGGAGGGCAAGGCTAAAAAGGAGGGGGAGAAGTCAGGACCTTGGGGGACTCCACAAGAGGGTTTCTAGTAGGGTTGGAGGTGCGTGGGTGGTTGAATAGCGTGGCGGCGGGTAGGGAAAAAGTTGTGGATATAATTGTGAAAACATCAACTTGGTGTAAGGCCTTGGAGTTATTCTAGGATGACAGAGTGGTGGATGGTACCGAAAGTCTTTTCAAAGTCGAGACCCCCAATGCAGAGCAGTTGTTGAATGCTTCTCTTTTGGTAAACTTCCTGCTGAATGCGGATCATCGTGTCGTCTTGTGTGCATACATAAGATCAAGATACAGTCATGGTCCTGCGCAGAAAATCAGATTGATCGAGGAGCCAACCAAGTGAAGCGTGCGAGGGCAATTTTCTCCGTGATCTTGCCTACGCAGGAAGGGAGAGAGAGAGAGGTGTCTGAGGGTTTCTTGGGTCGGTTTCTTACCGGGTTTCAGGATGGGAACTATGTGGGAAGTTTTCTACTCTTCAAGAAGGATCTCCATTCGCCATACTTCGTTTATATGGGCGAGAAGAGTGGGCAGGGCTTTGCCAGGGAGTTCACGGAAATGGGAATAAATGATGTCATCGGGGCCTGCGTTGTTGACAGTGGGAAAGGGCTGCTCGAAGCACGGCCTCGCAGAAGTCAGTATCAATAGGTAAAGCAGTGGAGTCAGTTTTGCTTGGGTCTAGTACAGGTGGGGAGAGTTTCAGGGAAAAATTTGGTTTGCAGCTCGGTGGTGAGGGCGAGGTTTCAGAAGGCTGTTGAGAGATGCAATTGTGAGATATGTGTATATACACGTGCCTGCCCGGACAACGCTCGTAGTATTTGCCATACCCTGGCTGAGCGCAGCTGACCACTAAGCAAGTCGCATTGCTGGAGCCCATTGCTGGTCTCCAGCTGTGCATAGTTTAGCGCCTCGGCTGTGAGCAGGACTAGCTTGAATTTCAGCGAGCGATTTTGTTTCCTTCGCTTCCACATTTTGGTGAGGGTATGGCGCTGATTCCAAGGTCGAGAAGGAGTGAATCGATGGCCGTGGTTTCCTCGGTTGTTGTCACGTATTTTGTCGCTGCGTGGTAAATGTGAATGATGTTATTTTGCCACTCAGTGTGATTTTGAGAGTATAGGGAGTAGGTATGGCTACGAAAATTGGTCCCATTTTGTCAGGAATGCTTTACAGGAGTTATTAATGGGGCGGGGGTGAAAGGTAGGTGGTAAGGGAATATGACGTGATCGCTACCAAAGAAGAGGGCAGATGCGTTCCACGTGTCCCCCTGCATTCACACAGACCACATCAGGTCGGGAATCGTATAGCGTTGGACACTATTGCCCTGACGTGTTGGCGATGGCAGATCATTACAGAGGATAAAGCCGAGGATCTGGATGCAGGTTCGACGGAGGCGGCGTAAGAGTGAAGTGGATATGTAAGAGCACATCGGGTTGAGAAGCATTAAAAAAAAAAGCATAGTAGACGATGGGGAGCGAGTGTATTTTTGAAGGAAGGGTGTGAGCCATTCAAGGGAAGGTTTGGCGGATGTGGCCCAGTAGGTATTGAGAGCACAGGGGGGGTAGATAGTGATGTAGCTGGGTCAGCGTGGATACGTACTCTGTTTGTGATGTATTGTAAGTACTGTTGTTGAGCTGGACTGTCGGTAGGGTTTGAGGACGTATGTGACGATGTAGATTTATGAACGTGTTTTTGGCATTTAGAAAATATTCTTCGTTGGATGAAGAAATTGTCGTGAGGGGCATTTTAAATTCCAAGCGTTTCTTCCAAAAGAACGATGGCAGGGAGTTCGGTGAAAGATTGTAGGTGGAGACGAAAGGCAGCGGCCTTTCTGCGAAGTTCGCGGAAGTTTCATTGAAGTATGTAAGGGGGATCTATGTTCCAGGCCAGGGTGTGGTTGTTCTGTTCATGGAGGGAGTAGCGGACTGAAGTATGGGAGTGCTTAAACGAATGTGCTGTATGATAGTGTTGAGTTGTGCTTGAAACTGTGCTTGAATCATAGTGATATGCTCAAGGGCAGAACATATTTGTGCGGCTGCTGTCTTCTGCGGACAGCTGAGGTCTGGGAGATGTGGCACCCCCCTACAGTGCTGTCAGCGAGGGTAAGAGGTTTGGATAGTTATTTTGAGTAGGACGACCGCTGCAGATGGCACAGGTGGCGGGTTGGTGGCGATTGGGGTAAACGCCTTGCCGGTGTCCAACTCGATAACAATGGGTGCACAGTTGTCTCTTTGAACGATGGGGGTAGCAGCGCTAGGTGCAGTTGACTAATACGTAGCGCGGGACGACTTATCCCTGGAATGTGATCTTTTTAACCCACCTGGTGGCATCGTTATGTACTCTTGTATTTGGAGCATAGTTTGTAATTGACAGTGGGTAGCGCCAATGATTTCATGAATTACACCGTGACACTGGATTGTGGCCTGTTGCTATGTACGTGGTGATAAGGATGGGAATATTTTCTGAGAGGCGAAGCTCTTGAAACGGGAGAAGTTTGCGCTTGCGGAGTCAATGTATACGTCTGCCGCCATTAGCTTCTGCGTGGGCCTGAGTTTGTATATCGTATGCTGGGCTTTTTTAGGGTTGAGTGTGGTAGCAGAGGGGATAAATGTGTGAAGATGGCCCGAGATGGATTGCACAGTGAAGCTTCTGGTTGGGCAAATTATGACAGTGAACATGTCTTTCTGTGGCAAACGGCGAAAATGAAATCTTTCCTTCTCTGGTAAGAGACGCGGTAGAAGATGTGGAGTTTGCGGGTTCCATAGGGAGGAAAAATAGAGGCCAGGGAAGGTTCGTGGGCGTTAGGCTTAATGAAAGGTCGGCAACGCCGAACGCGATGCGCGTCATGAGGAACCGACGCCCGCGGCTAGGAAGCTGCGAGGACGGGGTTTAGTGTCTGGATGATTCGTGAAACTTGCGACAAACGATGGTGCTGTTTTGTGAGGTGTATGTAAAGGAGAAGTAGTTAAATCTGGATATATAGTCGGAGCTTGATGTGAGCGCGTCTTTCTCGGGGGGATCGTGGACGGTGAGGAAATACCTTTGTTCCATTCTGACTCCAGAATAAAGTCCCTCTGACAAACATGTGCTTAGCACTACCGCCTAAACTGTCTAGGCGAATGTGTCGTTCATTTTGCGGGAGGCTGTACATTACCATTGGACGATGATTCATGTTGCCCTATTCGTCTGATGAACTGGTTCAGCGCGAAGGTATTGACGTATAGAGAGCATCGCTTTACAGCACGCTCTCCAGAGCGTCTGAGAATGTACCAGATGGACCCCAGACCCCATTCACCTCTTCCAAAAAAGCCGCAGTGCATGCGCAAAAATATGACTGCGCCCCCATCCAGTTTTCAAAAGTGAATAGGCGTACGGCCGTTCTTACACCTGCACTTACTAGGCTGCTGCGGAAGCAAGATTTGCGTTTTAGCCGGTGGGTCGCCTTGTTTTTCACAGTGCGAGCGAATGTATGGCCAAATGCTGCAACACTTATTTCTGCCGGAAAGAGTGCCTAGTTTTTCTAATTTCGGTCAGCCAAGCTGTGTCCTGTGAAGAGAGAAGCATGGATAGCCACCGTGAATAGAAGGATGCCAGGTGGCTTGCCACGGCGACCGAAATTAGCAAAGCCGGACTCGCAGCGTACATTTTGTCACAGGTCAGTCTTCTTTTGACTAGTCTTCCATGCATCGGTAAGCCTCGCCTTGCAACCATCTCCCAGCCGCGAACCCAGAACTGCGAAGCGTTTGTCCCTGTAGTATAAGTGGCGCATTGAAGCTCGCAGATCGTCAATTGTAGCGCAAAACGAATTAAAGAATAGCACAAAGAAGAATGCTGTGATTTTACCGCCTGGATGTCGAACTTCCTCAGAGGTGCCTCGTCGCATTGGCAACTTCCCGAACTCTGGTCTGCTCCCAGAACGACGACCAGGGCTAAGAAACCGAGGATTGAAGGAGATGTCCACATTATCGTTTGCTCTCCAACTTCGCAGCTTCTTACCTAGAATAATTTGGATGCTGCAGCCAACGTTCTTATATACGCAGAAATGCACACCGCATAAAAACACAAACGATCATAAAACGAAATTCCTAATTAGGTGATAGTGTATTAAAGCTCCAGATCTTTCGCTAATTAGGCTTACCCTTGCTGTCTGCCCGTTCAGCATTGAAACATCGTTTTCGGATGATAAATGACGCCAAACATTTTTACAAGCTTAAAAACATCCACGACCTCGTCCTCTTTATCCGCAAGCTTAAACAAGTTTGTTTAAGAATTAAAAAAAGGCGGAATAAATTTAAAATTAAAATGACCATGAAGACAAGGATTTTTTAAAACTTTAGTGTGCTTTTATTTGTGTTAAGTTCTATGGGACCAAAGAGTAGAGCCCGCGATCAGTTGGGCCAATACCTTCAATCACCTTTGACCTCGTCCTACTCATGCGCAAGCTCGAACATGCTTGAGAGTCCGAGGACAAACCGAGGACAAACCGAGGACAAACCCAGAACAAGTTGAGGACAATCTAAAAACAAAACAAAACTAAAAATAAAATATGTCATGTTTTAAAATATCGAAGCTGAAGGTGAGCACGTTGGTTACAACTATGTACGTTTTGTCCGTCCTTGTATTTATACTTTCAGTAACCTCTAAATTAGCCGGTATGATTTTACTACTTGTCAGCTTCACTTGGACCACAGCGGATATCAAGAGTTCAGCTAAGCCAATTAGGTGACAATGGCGAATCACGTAATTGGTTCTTAGTTTCTTTAGAGCACAGCAATCCTGGGTTTATTCTCCACCCCGGCCCGTTTTAATCTGAATGAGTGTCGTGGTCGGCGTGCGGCCGTGTATCACTACTGCGTGGTGCACGTTAAAAATCTCAGGCTTGCGGTTGTACCGCACTGGCTAAATTGCTCATCTACAGCTGAGAGACAAGTCGCTCGTTGAAGGCAGACTGACTTCAAGGCTGCATAAACACACTCACAACCAATGTTTTAGGCCACAGCACCTTGCTGCTTCATTAACCAATGAAACGTACTCATTATGGCAGGTATAGCCTTCTCAGGTCGACGGCCCGCGCGTGTACGTCAGCGTAACGCCTGTTTTCAGTCTATAGCATTGTTAAACAGAAAGGTAGAGCAGGTGTTCACAAATTGCCTCAATTTCTCTCATGATTCTTTAGTCCGATGGCGCGTGGTGAATCATCATGTGCGTAGATTTTAACAGGGATATTTATCATAAAGCTACCGTCTAATGAGGTTCCGCTATCTGGAGCTTGAGCTTAAAGCGTGCTCTGATTCACAATCTAGAAGCTACACAGTGCGTGTGATAACCAAGATTTGTACCATTTCACTGGAGGCCGTAGCTGTGTGCGTGACTGTTGAGCGCGTGAGGACGGGGAGCTTGCACAGTTATCTTGAAACGTGCATTCCGCGCCGTCAAGATTACCGTTCTAGCAGCCTATTAATCATACGCTCTCTCTGAGCAGGCGCTTTGAACATCGCCCTCAAATATTGCGTCCAGTTAACACTCCCTGTACGATGGCTTGCCCTCAAAGTACTTGGGGACCCGCCACGCCATGCATTTCCTAAATTGTCGGTTTCTGTATAGACCAAATCAACTCTCTGACGTCACGCCATTGCGGTGGCGCTGCTGTCGGCACTGCGCATGCGCAATTGCTTCGCCTCTGGCGAACCTGGTTTCTGCGGCCCCGTCGTGCCCTCACCCGGTGTGGGCAAACGAGGGCTTGTTTGTAAACATTGTGTTGGTCCATAGCAGTGTTGAACCAATGCAGGAAATTATACTGTTCTTTTCCAAGCACTATTTTCACAGCTCTAACGATCGATGTCGAGAGCTCATCAAAGAAACCCTCACGTACTTCTTCTATTGCATTCCCAGCCACCAAGGAATAAGGTCGAATGCACCGGAGGTTAACCTAGTGAAAAAATGGAAGGAAATTGGCCACAATCTAGTTTGAGCCTGAGGGTTGAGGTTCAAACTTGGCAAATGATTCTGCAGTCTCGATTATTAAAGGTTTAAGATCGCGATTTGGTATTTTTGGTATTACTACACGTGTTGTTCTACGCAATAATCGGCACCAATAAGATGGAGGCAGAGGCAGACAGCAAAACGTGTAACTTTTGTCTGAAATCATTAATCGTGAAAGACGCGTGCCTAAAGGCAAACGCGCGCCATAGGCGTATAGAATAAAAATAAAATACGAAAATTGACGGATGTCTGACTCACGCGTCCTGCGGATACTTATACTTTATGTCTGACACCGATGCAAATGGCAAAAAAAAAAAAAAAAAAAGCACACTATCTCGACATAATCAAATGTTTCGAGTACGAAACTCATCGTTTCCGGCCGCGGACGAAGATCGATTCACGCTGCCCCGCTTCGGGGAACCGTGTCACATCCGGTAAAACTCGGCGCCCTAGAATTTAATGAATCAGGGCAGTGGCGACGCGGGACTTCACACGGTGGGAGTTCAGCGTCAAGAGGTGCAAAGCACTTTCGTGGAACGTGCGGAAACCAAACGAGAGCACTGCTTCGCATCAGGTATACGAGTTTCTCTAACATCATTCGCAGCTTTAAAAAAAAGAAAATATGTTCACATATATGTATCTCGAAGTTTTGTTTAAGCGCCGATAAAGGGAGTGGGAGAAGGAGACCAGAGCGTGCTGGGACATCAAGACACCGCGCTCTGTCTGGAATGATTAGGGAATAGACGTAAAGCCAGCTGCATTTGTTTCTGCGCACTCTTCGAACGCGATAGAACGCTAACGCGGAACGCTGGACGTCGGCGTTTGGCAATCAAACGCTTTCGCAATGTGATTAGAGACAACTGCAGCTACTTTTTCGTCTTCCCCACTACAGCTTTGCCTCACCTTGTCTGCGCATAGTTTCTGTACTCATTCATAGTTTGTGTTCTAGCGCTTTAGAGTTCCGCTGTTGCATCTTGAGTGGAAGGAAAAGATAGTTTGCTTATGCCTATTGGTGCCGTTGTCACCTGTGTATTCTTTGCGCGATTACGTAGGGGTTTCAAAATTACGTGTTTATTTTTTTCTTCTTTTTAAAGCGCAGCTCTTAGGCGAGAAAAGAGTCAAAATACAGGCTAGCTGGTGGAAGTCAACCATTTCGTCGTTTACCCTGAGACTGGGGTTTTTTTAGAAGAGCAGCTGAGCAGAGCAGGGCTGTTGTCCTGTTTATTGTGAGGACACAGAAGAGTTGCTTGAAGTCTTTGTGAGGCATATCTTCTGCTAGAACCTTTTCACTTGGAAATGTTGGGAGTGTCCTCTTCTTTTGTGATAGAGTGTAACCTGTAAAGTCACGGTGCAGAGGACTAGTCGTATGTGATTGGTTGATGACGACGAGAACGAACTATATAAGAGGAGGTTGTTGAAATAAACTTGTAGCTGAGTTTGAGACCTATCTTTTTTTTCTGTTACTTCTGCTCTTCAAAAAAAAACCCAGTCTCAGGGTAAACGACGAAATGAGCTCTTAGGCGCCCGTGTCCGGCTTGAGGGGCGTCGCCGTCGCCGTCGGCGTCAGCGTAACCGCGCGGTGCATTATGGGTAAATCTTACCGCTAAATTTAGCGGCAAAATTCCCCGCTAAATTTAGTGCGGAACTTTTTCCGCGAAATTCAGCGGGGAAATTTACCCATAATGCGCCGCACGGTTACGCCGACGCCGACGGCGTTCACGCACTCACACGTCATCAATGGCGGATCTACGCCGCGGCGCCTAGCTCGCGCCAGCATCATCTACCGCGACGCCAAGAGGAACAACGCATCTGCCACTTTGCAGCAGCCGAGGCGTATGTTTTTGTGCATTGCAGGAGCATTTTAAAGATTTGATAGCAGCGTCAAAATTACCTAATTTAGTTTGAGTCACTGATTTTGTGTCCGAGCATCAAGACACGACTTGCACGGACGTCACATCTGCGGCCATTATCATGGCCTTGCCGCTGAGCACGTACCTTCTGAGCATACATTTTGCGTCGGTGAATTTGCTTTTCTTGACAAGAACAAGTAGGAATGACCTTTAACGCGGGGCGATCACGTCATGTGCAAGCCATAGGCATTTATTTCTCGCATATATAATTACTGAATTTGCTGTTTTTATTTTCTTCCTCGATAGGAAACCAAGATGACGGAGCGCTACAGAGAGATCGACGGTTACTACGTCAGCTACAGCTTTCACGATGAAACCATTCACTCGGCACTGGGCTACAAACCGGTGCCTGGAGACGTGTTCATTGTGAGTTACCCCAAGTGCGGCACCACCTGGTTGCAACATATCGTCTACAACATCTTCAACGGCCGTGCTCCGCCGGAAAACATGATGGGCATCCTCCGCGAGATGCCATTCCTGGAGATGGTAGGCGCCGAGTCCATCGAGGACATGCCCAGACCAGGTGCCATCAAGACCCACATGCCCTTTCAGTTGCAGCCTTATTCGAAGGACGCCAAGTACCTTTACATCGCGAGGAATCCGTACGACTGCTGTGTCTCCTTCTTCTACCACACCAAAGGATTGCCCCCTTACAATTTCGCAGACGGTACCTTCGACGAGTTCTTTGAAATGTTCATCGAAGGCAAGGTAGACACCGGCGACTACTTCGACAACCTGCTGTCCTGGTACGAGCACCGAAACGATCCGAACGTGCTCTTCCTGACCTACGAGGACCTTAAAAAGGACACCGCTGCGTGGGTGCTGAAAATTGCAGACTTTCTCGGCAAGGAGTACGGTCCAAAGCTTAGGGCCAGTCCGGAGGCCTTGGGTGAAGTCCTAGAGCAAACGAACATGGTCAGAATGAAGAAGTACGTTAACAAGGGTCTGGAGTCGTTCTTTGTTGAGGTAAAAGCGATTCCTGAATATAGGAGGCCGCGTTGGGTGAAGCTCATGATGGATGCCGTAGGAGAGGAGGCGCTGAAGAAGACGATTATCAGTGACTTTGTGAGGAAGGGTGTCGTTGGTGACTGGAGGAGTCATTTTTCGGCAGAGCAGGTGAGGCGGTTCAAAGAGCGCATTGCCACGAAGATTCGCGGCAGCGATGTGATGGACCTTTGGAAACACATAGACCTTCCTTAGTAAACCTTGGCTAAAAACGGGGGTGGGGGAAACGAAATAAAAACGAGGTATAAAAGTGGTCTGGATGATATACATGTTGAACCGGACACAAATCAAAGAGTGTTATCAAACGAATGATTACTATGAACAATGTTCGATTTTCATCAAGTTTGAAATAACTATTTTGGCACAATTTGACCTTGCTACAGGCGCGCGTTGTGCCGCGTGAACAGTCTATTGTTCTGAGATGAAAACACAAATAAATATATGAAGAGGACAATGGCAGTGTCCGAGGACAGCACATTTTGGGCTATGATTTTCTCAGAAGCGCCCTGAAGAGAGGGTAGGGGAGCAGCGACTACTTGGAGCCAGCCAAGACACGGAAAACCTAGAAAAACTCAAAGCATTGACATCTGAAGCGTCAGATTTATCAGTCCCCTTCCATAAGACCACCTCACAAATACCAACGGAGCCGTAGAATGGGTGCTATATCGCAATAAAGGATGGCAGAACAAAAAACCGTCCAAGACATTGGTCGACCTCCTTAACTGAACTCAATACCTTCAAAGTCAGTCACCATGAAGATAGTGATGATTGCCATTTTGTCCAAACGAGAAAAGTTTTACCTGCATTATTTTCTTTCCCTTTTTATTCTTGTTTTATGCATGGCGTTTTAACAACGACTTTTTAAAGTTTCTAAGAAAGGGCACTTGAAATAAAGAAATGGTTCCTTCTGAATAATGGTATTGCCTTTGCCGGACGTCAGTCTGCAAGTGTAAACCGATAATATTAAGTAATAAAAAGGGGCCAAAATTGCTGTCGTCGCTACGCTGATTCTGAAAGAAATGAGTCAGCATTTAGCGCTGCGATTATATCTTAATATAACAAAGCAGGGTGAATGCAGCCACTTGGCATCTTTTCCCGGGGTGTACATTTTCAAAGCCCCTCTTCTCCCTGGTGCAAGCAGATCAGTTCACTTAGAGTGTGCATGAAGGACGTGCACGCGATGCACGTAAAACGACACAGCCGTTTTCGTTAGTGTCCTTGCACAACGCCAGTCCATACTGAGACCAATCACATCTGCTCTAGCAGCCACTGGTTGTGTCCGCCTTTAACGTCAACGTTCAAGTCCCATATTACGATGAGCGGCATCGTATGGAGCCCTGCAGCAGTTGGCGTTACACAGATGCGCTGGGTCGAATGTCAGCCCGTGTGTGTACACAGGACTCCAAAGCCGGCGGCAGGACTGGCAGGAGTTTCTGGGGGCGTCCAAAGCGCGCACCCACACCCCGCCCGCCATCTGTCGGCGCTTGCCGAAAGTGTTTCCTAGCCAGTTTCCGTAGACAGTGTGACTGTGGCGCCATCCTGTGGCGACGTTGCCAATATTGGTCAGTCCAAACCACTTCGAAGTCAGCGCAAGTGCGAGGGCACTAATGGTAACGCATTAAAAACGCGGTAATTCCACTACACTGACTTGATGAGATCAGTCAGGAGGTCTTTCAGTTGTCCGGGCTCCTGCCAGGTTCGCGCAACGAATCGCAGTGGAACGCAAGGAGTCGCAGCGCGTTCAGTAAGACTCGGGCGCAAATGTTCGAACCAGCCTTGAAATTTTTAGCTCTGAAGGTTTGTGCGGTTAACTTGCTTTGTCTGCTGAGATGGTCAGGGTTCAAAAATCGCGTTGAGAAAGTATAACTTAGGGGGGATTCAACCGCTATTTATTTGTACCCTTTTCCTCATAGATGGCGCGGACTTTTTCCGGAACAAACGAGTTGCATGCGCGCAGTTTCGCATGCAGGTCGGGCGCTCGAGGTGGGCTCGGGCCACGGGCTGTTCGCCGCCGATCTCGAGCTAGATCTTCTTCGCTCTGCGCCCGCCGCTGCCGGAAGCTGCCAACAGGCGGCGCGAGATACTAGCCAGTACATACGTCAATTACAGTTGCTTACAAAACCTAGAATAAGCTCTGACTTTGGTATGTATTCGAAGTTCATCCACGTTCGAAATAATCAGAAGCACGGGGTGCGGCGTTGCGGCCGTTTGGACCACCACATTTGCCACGCAAACGTTTAAAAAAAAAAGTTTATTTTTAGAGTTTAATTTAAAGCTAGAAAACAAAAAAAGAATTAAAGTGGCAGTTTTGCGCTTCCTATGTCCTATATCGGCCTGCTCTTCGTCTGAATACTGGTTTGCAAACCCGCTCCCAGGTTGTGTGGAGTAAAGCGCATGTAGGTGGTTTGGGGCTCGTCAAGCTGTTTTTACAGCTTTTTTCCCAAGTCACCTTTTCAACATTGTTTTTGTTGGAAAAAATAAAGGTACTATTATCTTGGGAAGAGTGGCGCCAATCATTTTTGTGGAAATGCTCGCGACTCGTGCCGCGCGCGCCACTTCTGCGAAGAACTAGAGCCACTAAATGAGCTGCGCTTAGAGTATCGGCCCTCTGTTCTCCAACATTGTTGTAGGCGCCGACATTTTGGTAGAAGCAAGTGCCGATCGTCATGATTCAAAACTGCGACTTCCTCATCATTAGATTCGGTGTTAGGGAGCCCGTATAATATTGCTTTGCTCTGTCGCGAACTGTTTAAACATTTGTGGAGGACGGAGAAGCGTTTCCTGGGATTTCAGATGAATCTTCAGATAACTGGCAACCATGATTTTAAGCCCCAATATGAATAAGTGGCGTTACTCTGAAACGTAGCTTATTTAGTGGCACTATATATGGAAGAACATGGCGTGTGCAATCTAGCTCAGTGCCGGGCTGTTCCGCCATGATCTTCCCTAGTGCCACTAAATAAGCTACGCTTCAGGGTAACGACACTTGTCCATATTGTGGCTTAAAATCATGGCTGATTGGATGGGAGAGAGAACTTGTGAACCTGTCAATGACACCTTTAGATTTGATTTGTTTATATGACTACTTTGGGCCCTGATCTGGTGTGATAACAAGAATTAAAATGACGCCGCACCGCCGACGTGCTGGCAGTTTTAATAGAACAAGAAAGCAAGTATATGGTTGTTCCGGTTGCTCAATTCTCTCAAAAATTAACCAAGCCCAACATCTCTAAAAAAAAAATCAGCTAATTTGACAGTTTTTGTCTTCCTGACGATTTTTATTGCAACACTCGAAGAAATACTTGTATTTTAATTGTGATATTTATTGAAGGCAAGAATCCCGAGCTCGTAACTTTATTTATGCCAGTTGCTCCTGCTGATCGAGAGCACGCGCAACCGATATTCATCCTTCAACGAATATATAGCTCGCGCTTGCAGCCTGGTAGCGGAATTGTTGTGCATTACGAAAAGCTGGGAAGCAAAAGATAAAGCGAAACAAATGGCAAATGAACACAGATCTGTATAAACTATGTGAATACGTTAAAAAAGCAAAGCTACTTTCCGAGCGAAAATGAACCCGCGACATGAGATCACTATGGCGCATGCCATTTCAAGGGCTCGAGACATGGGAACCGGGACTCGCAGCCGGTTGCCTGCGGGCCACGTCCCAGCGAGTGGCGGGCCGCGTGTTTGAGATCCCTGTTCTTGGCTGTATAAACATACACACACCTCAATTTGTTTCCAGACAGATAAGGTAGCACCGCTTCATTCCACCGTGACATAGTAAGATCACTGTTGAAAGAGGTGTTCATAACGGACAATGGGATAGTGAATTCCCGAGGTTATTTATGAAGACACTAAAGTTATTTAGAGGTTCATTTGATTTTGCCTAAAATTTAGAAAGGTGAAGAGAGAAAAAAAAAAAGAAGAGAAACGTACACCTCACCTTAGGTAGAAACGTATTTTCTACTTATTGATGGCCCGTTTGGTTTTCTTAGTAATCCGCAAAACGGGAAGTGTTAAATTTAGAAAAAATAATTGTTTGAGGCGCCAAAACGCTAACGACAAAATTCAATTTGCATCTCAGAGTAAGCACCTGTCTGTTGGTTAAGAAAATATATTGTAATTTTTGAAAATAATAGAAATCATGCTTTTTTTTTATATCCACTAGCCACCAAACAAGGTCTACAGAGAATGAAAATATCTGAAATAATGTTTCATATAATAAATGCTGTTCGGAATAAGTATTTTAGCCTTCTTTGAAACTAATTCAACTATTTTTTTTTTTATTTCCAAATACATATTAGTAGGGTGCCCTCATGTGCGCTTTGCTTAGGGTGGAAGCATCTGGCAAATTTGTCCCACACTTTTTTTTTTCTTTTTTTGTTCAGAAGCACGTGAAAGAGCGTGTGCCGGCATGCGTTTGTGGCGCTGACTGTGCTATGGCGACATTTTGTTCTCGTAAATTTATTTGTATTTTACCCGTGAGCTCGTGCTGTCGGCATCGGGTGCTACAAAGAGTAACATCACCCTTAGCAGAAGGATATTGAGGCACCCTACATAGTAGGATACCTCTGTTCAACCCTGCACGATCTTACCGCTCATTCACACTGGAAGCTGATCCGCGTTCGCAAGGCATTTGCGAACGCGGTTGTACAAAGATTCAGTACAATTGCACGCGCACTTTATGTCATCGAGTGCGCGTGCAATTGTACTGGATCTTTATACAACTGCGTTCGCAACCGCTTTGCAAACGCGGATCCGCTTCCAGTGTGAATGAGCGGTTAGGGTCCTTACGAGCCACGCTTGTAGCGTATGTAAGCGTTTGACCACGCGCGCTGACATAACACACACAAAAAAAAATTGAATCTACAAAAGTATCTCCTTCAGAGCCTTATCAGGCGTTTCGCCAGGAGTCTGCTGATGACTAGTTACACTTTTTTTGCAACGTTCAAAAAGTGCCGACCAACGGAGCCATCCATTGTAGTTCTGTTGTGAGAAGTTAGTCTGAGTTGTGAGAAGTTAGTCATCTCTGAGGACATCTGGTGTCTTCGTTGGAGATGAAAACCAGTGCAGTATACCGCTGCTTGTCTGACGACTTTAACGTGCATCACGCAATAGTGATACATCACAGCACGCCTGTACGATGCTCATCCAGATTGAAATGGGCAGAGGCGGTGGATGGAATCCACGGTCAGTGAGCTTTACAGCGTGAGCTTTCGCTACACGTGCTACCGATCCACGAGCAACGAGACATCGCGGTCGAA